TATGTCCGACCTTGGCAAAACGCGAAAATTTGTATTCGCGAATATAAATTGGGTTACAGTATGTTGTCAGTGGGGGCATCCGTGTCCTCTGGACACAGTTCTAGTTTTAGTCATAGTTGATGAACATTTAGGGGCATCATTCTGAAAGCTTAAAATATTGGGATTTATGTTATTGAGATCAGCATTTAAATCTGCTATTCAGCGCTCTAATGTAATTTTCTAAAAACAGTTATGGCAGTTATTGGCTGTAATGTTAAATTTCTTATTATCATCCATTGAGGAATTGTACATTACGTACTGGACTAATTTTCATCAACAGCGCTATGGAAATTGAACTAATTAAGTTCTCACTCAAGATAACAGCAAGATTAAAGATGACTTATTAATGACCCAATACAGACTTGATTAAGAGACTGAAGGTATTCAGTCATGAACTGACTTCATGATAACACAGTTAACTTTCTGAATGTAAGATAATCAGGTTTTATTGCTTAACCTGTACTGTAACCTGCATAATCCTGCTGTTTGATTATAGATTATATGGTCAAACTGGCCATGACTCAGTTTACTGGTGGCTTCTACTTAAATAAATTAAAAGCGCTAATGTTGTTGTTGTTTTTTTTCACTCTTAGTTCCAACAACTGTACTTCCATGAAATTATTCTTTACCACTTCATTAAGAGACTGACTTAGTCAGCAAGACTTGATCAGTTGAACTGATAATCAAATTAAGTAATGATATTGATTGTTGGGATGGTAATTTTATTGGCTTTTAATGACTGTACAAAGCAATGATTCAAATCCTGAGGTTTGGACTCTGTAACCTCACCAAGTGGGGGATATAAAATTCTTGGATATTTTTTATTGTCTTTGATCAGCAGAGATGAAATTTCTGTTTGCATCAGTGCATTTATTATTAAGATGTTGTTGAAATGTAATTTGTTTTTCACTAATTATTGATACTTGTTTATATGTCAATTACTGTGCAAATAGTAAAGATTTTGAAAAAAAAATCCTCATAATACAGTACCCGTATGACTGATTCACTACAGGTTTGCTTATTAAAGATTTTATTACTACTGGTAAGTAATATGAAATAGGTCAAGAAATGTTTGAAAAATTACTACAGGTGTTAATGATTTTTTTAGCACAAATTAAATAAAGTTTATCAAATTCTAATTTAAATCAATACTATAAGTATATTATCCCTCAGATCAAAACATGCCATTTCAATTGTTAATTACTTTTTACATACATAAATTTAACAAAAATTGTGTTTTCACAAGTTCTCTAATATCATACTAAACATTCTTATTTTTTTAAGTAAAACAAAAACTCCCCTGGAAAAAAAATATGCATCTAACATTATTTGAAAGAAAAGACAATCCAAGATTGTGCCAAAATCTGAAAGTTGCTGATAAGTATTTTCTACTACAGGGATGTAAAATATAAATTAAGTTTGTCTGCATAAGATATGGCTATATGCATATTTTCTGAAATGTTTTAAGTTTAAGTACAGGCAGAAATGCAGATTAAACTCTAATCTTTAAAAATAGACATAATCTTCAGAGTGGTCTGTATATAATGGAAAGCAGAAAGCTGAGTTTGAAGCATTCATTTTAGTTGAACATTTCATGACATGATTGTACTGTTTAAGAAAAAAAAAACATCCAACAATTTGGTAGAAGTTTTGAAAAATTTGACAGTAATAATTATATGCTGCCATATGTTGGGAGTATAATATTTTGTTTTGGAAAAGCTAGATTTTGTGTTTGACCCTTTTTGGAACTTCTGGAGGCCTTTTTTGTCTGCTCAGATTAAAATTGTTAACTGTTCAAAAAATTCTTGCATATTGAGGTGTGGTCAACTTACAAATGTTGTCAACATACTGCTGAATATGTATTAATAAGTGTAGGAAATGTTTACATGTCAGACTATTATTTAGAAGATTCAGCTGACTAAGAAATTGGCTGTGAAGGCTTTAAACTAATAACCTCTCCCAGCTTTGATTTTATACATTGTTTCAATCATTATAACTTTAATCTTTATCTAAATTCTTGAAATTAATTAAATCTGAATTTTAGTTAACTTTCAGATGCCTCGCAAGTGTTGATCTCAAGTCTACTGAATGTTTATGTGTTGGCCTAGTAGTTTTGGTGCAAGTGGAGTCACAACCAAACTTGCCTCATTCACCAGTTACTTATTAGTTTTAGGATGTAATATAAACTTTCTTCACAGTTAATTATCTTAAATAAGCATGGCTAAACTAAGCTCTCCTGTCTGGAGTGAGTTCGGGTGGATGTGACTTAAATCTAAAATATGTAATTTGACGTAATGTGCTGAAATAATGTCATTGTCAAATGCTACAGGATATAATTATGATTTTACTGATTATTATATAAAGTAGGTTGGTGCAAAATTAATGCTGCAGGAAATGTAAAGAATACTGGTAAAGTTTGAATGGATTCCCATTATATTTAACATATAAGTCTCGGTAAGACAGATAGAGTTGGTTTAAAATTTCTTGTTTAGAATAAATTTGCATGAATGTTTTGAAAGAAAGTTAAATTATGACAGTTGCTGTGCCACATTCACATATATTTTATGTCAGACAAACAAGTTAACATCAGAAATTTATTCATAACTTTAACTGTTTTTATTGGCAAAGTTCAGACATGATGGAATAGTATCTTATTGTCATCTTAACTTACATTAATAAATGATTCACAGGAAGTTCTTACATTACAATTCCTTTTATAAATGAAATATTTAGATATATGTTATTTATATTTTCTTTTTAGCTCACCTGAGCTAGCTCAGGGTGAGCTTTTAGGATCGTTGAATGTCTGTCGTCCGTCCACACTTGTTCGTTAACATTCTAGTGGTCACATTTTTGCCTCAATCATCATCAAACTTTGTCAGGATGCTTACCTAGGTAATTGTTCGGATGAGTTTGATGGGTCAGGTAAGCTATCTAGGGCCATCATGACCCTCTTGTTTAAATATTATTATACAAACTTAATGTTATTACTGTATGGGCAATGACTCAATGAAATGTTTGTTGTATACAAAATAGTTTTTTATATAAAGCCAAATCTGTGAATGTATCTATAAATAAATTTTGAGTTTTCTAGGCAACATTTGCATCTTTTTTTTTTTTAGCTTGTCTGTTTTTTTTTGTTTTTGTTTGTTTTTTTTAAGAAAAAGTCAAGCTATCTATTGCTGTGTCATCGACGTTGTCATGCAAAAACTGTAATGTAGTAAGCTATCTAGGTAGGTTACAGAGCGCAAGTGGTTGTATTCAGATGCCAGTTTGTGCCTGAAATGATGCACAGAAGGGGACCTGAGGTCTTCCTCCACCAGTATTAATGGAAAGTTACCATATGACCTATATTGTGTTGGTGCAACTTAAAACCACAAACAAACAGAATTTATTAAAAATGCTCAAATAGTTTGCTGAACAAGATGGCGGCCAAATCTTAAAATAGACATAATCTTTAAGTAACATCTCTTTTACCAGGCTTCAGATTAATTAGTAAAACTCTACAATAATAACTATACAACTATGTAATTTGGTAATCGCTCATTGATATACACAATCTACAGGTAGACTGTCATAAATAGTAAATATAATTTAAGAAAACTTGTAATGTCAGGAATATTGTTTTAGAGAACTGATTGAAACATAATTTGAGAACAAATTAATGTTAGGTCAGGAACATGTTAACTTGAGAAAATTGTTAAGGTCATTGAAATATAATTTGAGAACACTGGTAAGGTAAGATGCAAAGGTAAGGTCAGGAATATAATTTGAGAACACTGGTAAGGTAAGATGCAAAGGTAAGGTCAGGAATATAATTTGAGAACACTGGTAAGGTAAGATGCAAAGGTAAGGTCAGGAATATAATTTGAGAACACTGGTAAGGTAAGATACATAACTTGAAAATGAAGGTAAGGTCAGGAACATAATTTGTGTAAACTGTACAGGTTCATAAATATTTTTGAGCTGTAAACTTCTATATTGATTGAAATTAAAAACTTTAATCAAACAATTATATTGCCTGATCCACTGTTATATAGTTCTCTGTAAGATAAGCAAGTTTTGTGCAGGAGATTGAATGGCTGCCAATAACGTGACATTATAATTATGAAGATTATCCTATAACTAGTTTTCTGGATTTTTGTTAGTAATGTATTATTCCTGTCGGGGTGACATAAAATAGAAACTATTGCTTTACTGAAAACATCCATTACTTAATTTGCCCTGTCTACCCTATTGTTGCCTTATATAAAGGTCATTAAGTGTATATGTTAATTATCAAAATTAATGAACAGCCATCTGCATAAAAAGGCTTATGGGAGATTGCTGTCTCCTAGGATTTAATGATTATACAAAATACTGTATTTCACAACTCAGCACCACCCACCACTTGGGCATCAATGGCTGAGTGGTTAAGGTTGTTGACTTCAAACCACTTGCACTTCACCAATGTAGTGTCAAATGCTGCCAAGGACTGGATTTTTTCATGTGAGAAAGTTATCCAGCTAGCTAAACTTTAACAGAACATCAGTGGTTTTACTCATGTGCCTATATACAGTGCCTGAAATAAAGGAAGGAGGGACACCTGAAGTTTTCCTCCACCAGTAAAGCTGGAAAGTTGGTAAATCCAACAAAAAAAATGATATATTTATTTTATGAAACACCTGGCAGAATGTAATGAAGACATACAGCAAGCTGTTGAACCATATGATTGTAACAATGTGAATGGTACAGGTAAGTCACTACATAACAGTTACTGTAGTAGTAATAAAAAAAGGAACATCACAAAGTTTTTACAAGTGTTAGTTATTATTGGCTGGCAGCATTACAGTGCAGTATAGAAAACAGTTTGCCTACTACTAGTAACGCATTACTTATTTTCACCTTTGATGCTGCACAAGGTCTTATGTTCCTCCCTTTTGAAACAATGTTAGGGTAAATAATTTATTTTATGTTTTCAGTACCAGGTGGGGAAAGAGCAAAAATACAAAGGGCTCGTACTGCTACATAAAGGTTGGGTCCACCATCAGTGATGTTGAAGCTTTAGGAGAGCCAATTACTAATAATGATGGCAAGGTAGGTAAAATCTGTATACATTTGTAATATATATTATGATGATAGTTTGTCTCAGTGCATTATCAAAGTGCTGTAACCATTAGTGAAAAGGAAACATCTGGTGTTACAAGTGAAATATAACTGATATTACAGTCATGTTGAACAAACACATTACTTTTACACACATTTTTGGTCAGTCCACCTAACCTGCTATAACTAACCAGTAATTAACAATTACTCTGCTGCTAATCCTTCACATGATTTTTGAATGATTGTTTAATGACAAATGACCATGAGGATTTAACGTCCATGATAATTTGTCACAGAGAATTTTTTCATTGATAGTAATGTCATGTCCGGTCCATATATTTGAGTCATTCAATGACAGATTTTGTAATAACTTGGCTTAAATACATCGGAGCATATGCCTGAAGCTCAGGTTTTTTTGTGACAAATTTCATCATACTTTACTATTAGATTATGTAGGAAAATGATTATGAATAAAGGTTTTCAGGTTTTTCAAATTTTCAACTTGCACCCATGTAAATATATTGTTCTTTAAAACAATTTGTGTTGAGTTTGTAGTTACACTAAGGTGTTCTAAGGTTTATAGTTTCATTAAAGTACACAAATGGTTATATCATACATGCAATAATTTTTAGACTCATTTCCAGGACACTTTTCATTTGGAGGTGGGGCATTGATCAGCAAATGTATTTTTTTTTAAAATTTACATAGTGGCATACAACCTATATTACCGGTATTTACAACTTGCAAATTTAATCACACCATAAACAAAAGACAGAATGTCAATAATTATTAACAGTTTTTCTATCTTTTTTAAGTATTTAGGCATTGTTAATTCAATCAGTCACAGAATAGAATAAAGCTATGTTAAGTAATGACAATAAGCTATGTCGTTTACCTGAAACATTCACTGAATCTTGTAGATTTCATCACCTCAAATTTTGCAGTAATTTTCACAGTGTTTGACCAATAACTGGCTCCAGGCGGATTAAATTTATACTGGCCAGTTGTTAATTACAGTGCATGACACCTTCGCTCAGGAAGCCACACCAGGGGTAAACAATTAATCTTTTAATTGATCAAAATTATTGCTGATAATTGTTTGTTGGAAGGGGCACATAGATATTCCAATCAAAGTAATAGTGTCACCATTGGAATGCTGTAAAGGGATAATTGTTCGTTATTAGCGTTCTAGACTAGTTTATAAAAACTTGACAATAAAATTATATAAAAACGTAAAATTTCTTGCTTCAGACTAGATTATTTTAGATTTTTTTTTTACCGGGACATAAATCATCTCCGGGACAGACACCTGATTTCCTGGGACTGTCCCGGACATCCGGGACGTTATGGCATGTTTGGTTATATCCAGTCTTCATTTATGAATGGATTTTGAAATAACAGCATATTTCTGTGGCACATTAGGAAAACTTGTCACACTCAAAAGCCAATTTAAAAGGTGAAGGTTATTCCTGAATGTCAATATAGTACATTGATGGTTAATCTGGTATTATCTTTGTCATTTTTTCATGTAGGCTTGAAATAATTGGACTCACTGAGATTATTAGAAAATATGTGTTAATGTTTCCACATTCTTGTTGCACTATAGTAACCATGCCTTGGTTACAAGTCAAAGAACATGGTTCCTCTACTTGGCACATTTGTCTGTTTTCAATTACAGGGTTTTTTTGTTGTTGTTTTTAGCTCACCTTGCACAAAGTGCAGGTGAGCTTTTAGGATGGCCAACCAAATGGCGTCCGTCGTCAGTCGTCCGTCCACATTTTAAATATTCTAAGGACATCTTCTATGATACCGCAAGGCCAATGTTAATGAAACTTGGCAGGAATACTCTTTGTATGAAGCTCTATCAAGATTGTTCAAAGAATTCCATTTCATGCTGAACTCTGGTTGCCATGGTAACCGAAAGAAAAATCTTTAAATATCTTCTTTTAAAGAACCGTAAGAGCTAGAGCTTAGATATTTGGCATGAAACATCTTCTAATGAGTGTCTACCAAGTTTGTTCAAATAAAAGCCCTAGGGTCAAAATTAGCCCCGCCCCAGGGGGTCATTGATTTTCCCTATATGCATATAGTAAAAACTTAAAAAATCTTCTTTTAAAGAACCCAAAGAGCTAGAGCTAAGATATTTGGCATGAAACATCTTCTAGTGAGTGTCTACCAAGTTTGTTCAAATAAAAGCCCTGGGGTCAAAATTGGCCCCGGCCCGAGGGGTCATTGATTTTCCCTATATGCATATAGTAAAAACTTAAAAAATCTTCTTTTAAAGAACCCAAAGAGCTAGAGCTAAGATATTTGACATGAAATATCTTCTAGTGAGTGTCTACCAAGTTTGTTCAAATAAAAGCCCTGGGGTCAAAATTGGCCCCGCCCCGGGGGGTCATTGATTTTCCCTATATGCATATAGTAAAAACTTAAAAAATCTTCTTTTAAAGAACCGTAAGAGCTAGAGCTTAGATATTTGGCATGAAACATCTTCTAGTGAATGTCTACCAAGTTTGTTCAAATAAAAGCCCTGGGGTCAAAATTGGCCCCGTGCCAGGGTGTCATAGATTTTCCCTATATGCATATAGTAAAAACTTAAAAAATCTTCTATTAAAGAACCCAAAGAGCTAGAGCTAAGATATTTAGCATGAAACATCTTCTAATGAGTGTCTACCAAGTTTGTTCAAATAAAAGCCCTGGGGTCAAAATTGGCCCCGCCCCAGGGGGTCATTGATTTTCCCTATATGCATATAGTAAAAACTTAAAAAATCTTCTTTTAAAGAACTCAAAGAGCTAGAGCTAAGATATTTAGCATGAAACATGTTCTAATGGGTGTCTTCCAAGTATGTTCAAATAAAAGCCCTTGGGTCAAAACTGGCCTGCCCCGGGGGTCATTGATTTTCCTTATATGTGTATAGCAAAAACTTAAAAATCTTCTTTGAAAAAACCCAAATAGCTTGAGTTTAGATATTATACATGAAACATTTTTAAGTAAATATCTACAAAGTTTGTTCAAATAAAAGCCCGGGGGTCAAAACTGGCCCTGCCCCAGGGGTGTCATTGTTTTTAACTATATGTGTATAGTAAAAACTTAAAAAATCTTCTTTTAAAAAACCCAATGAGCTAGAACTTAGATGTTTAGCATGAAACATCTTCTTATGGGTGTCTGCCAAGTCTGTTCAAATAAAAGCCCTTGGGTAAAAATTGGCCCGGGGGGGCGGGGGCTATATACAGGTGAGCGACCTCAGGGCCATCATGGCCCTCTTGTTATGAAAGTGCCATAATTTTAAAATGTGCAGATTTGATAATAATAGAATATCAACAATTGCACTGCAATTGCAACTGTGAATACAGCAACTTATATAGTAAATAACTTGTATACATATCATGATATGCATATCAATTTTTTAATCAAGATTCAATGTGCTGAAATGTTCTAGTTTCATGACTAAAATCTTAAATAATTAATTGCCAAACCACACTTGAAAGGGTTCCTGGTCACATAATTAGTTAGTATGGTTATCAAGTATGCATATATAAATAGTTTCAGAAATTCATTTGGTAAAAAATGAATAATTAAATGATGTTTCATACAATTGTAGATCCATTATTTAATTGTAACTACATGTAGTTCACTTAAACCTGCTGGAACTAAAAAATGAATAGCCTTTGTTACCAGTAAAGAGTCAAGCCAGCTTGCACTTTCAGGCTTTATAATGCTGGTTAACACTATAACTGAAGATTTTGCATGCAGCATTGCCAATTTAGTGGACATCAACAAAAGCTATATAAGGCATGTCCCTAAGGTCAAGAGTATCCCTGCTCTGTAGGTCACTGATTAATAATTATGCAGCTTGAAGAAAAAATGTCAAACTAAGTGTGACCACATTACTGGCATTAACCTTTCCAAGTAGTGTATCTCAAGTGAATGATCCAGTACCATCATGGCCCTCTTGTTTTCTTAATTTCTGGGAATATGTTGATGAATTTTGAAGAATCCAGACTGCATCATGTCTGCATCAAGTGTTATAGAAAATTGTTTGAATAAAGTTTAATCTGTAAGATAAAAATATATATTGTCTAAAAGTTTCTGTTTGTTAAGCTTCCTGGAAAGAGGAAATTGTTCATGTGGTATGAAATGTTTTTGATGTCTTCTTGTTACCCTGTTAATAATCCTGTTAACTTCAAACAGCCAGTCTTACAATAACAATCTGTAAATAATTTGTAAATACTTACAGCCAGACATTTACCATTAAATTTTGCAACTTTAGGAACTTTTCATGTTGAAGACTTTGATCCTGCACTAGTGTGGTTTCCTTTACACTAAACTTGCAATCTTCCCTGAGACTTCTTCACTCACTGCTTTCAGATGATTTGTTTTTTTTTGTTTCACTTCCTTAACAGCTTAGAAGGAAATTTATTGTTTTATAAAATAAACACAGGTTGTTATGGGTCTTTGTGTAAACAAAATAAATTTACTTGGGCCAAACAAAAAAAATCTTTGTCATGGTAGGAGTAAATGTTCTAAAATCTTAACAAGTTTTTGCTATGAAGAAGACTTAAAGGCTAGTTGTCAACTTGATGATTGTTGCCTTGTAATTGATATATTGAAAAGAACTTTAAGACATGATGAGTAATGTTTGCTGAGTTTGGTTCTTTATGGGGAATCATAAAGAATGAAGGTAAACAAACAGCTATATATTGTCAAGGAGACATAATGATTGCTGAAATAAAAGTTTCTCTTATTGTGACATCAGCACTTCAAGATATAAAATATCTCAGGAGAGAAATAACATTTACTATATTAATGATTAACATAGAACATTTCTTACTTGGAAAACTTAATGGGGTTTGTTTTCAATATTATTGCCATTTCAACAATGTAATTGTCAAGTTATGCAAAGCAGAACTAGTTTAAAAGTATAAAATTAAAAGTTCTTGAATGATTTGTTGTGGATATTTTATCATTCTTCATGGCTGTCGTGTTAAGA